GCGTCGGCGTCATGCGCCGCCAGCTCCAGCACGCGCACGCCGCTCGCCGTCGGCAGCAGCACCTCCGCCTCGTACGTCGGCTGCGAGAATTGCGGCGGGCAGTCGTTCTCGTTCGCCACCTCCACCGTCACCGTGGCCGTGCTCTCGGCTCCGGCGGACGGCAGCCGCGGCTCGCCCATGTCCACCACCTGCAGCCGCGCGCCACGTCAACCTCGTTTCTCACAAACCACTGTATCTGATACTACAACACTACAAGAGAGACTAAAAGAAAGCGGAACGCCTTATCCGCATTTACGGCAAAAGGCATCCATCCGTTAACCGCGAGGTCGTGGCGGCCTACTCGTGATGTAGGACGGAAGGGAGGCGAGAAGAAGGGAACCTTGACGGTGAAGGTGTGGACGGCGGCGAGCTCGTGGTCGAGCGGCGCGGCGAGCGAGAGCGCGCCGGTAGTGGGGTCGATGCGGAAGAGCGCCGCGGCGGCCGGCTGCAGGATCTCGTAGGCGCGCTGTCGGTTGGCCGGCGAGTCGGCGTCATCGGCCGTCAGCACGAGCGGCTCGCCGGGCGGCGCGTCGGCGGCCCACACAAGCGCGCCGCGCGCCGCCGCCTCGGACACGCGGCCGCGGTAGGCGCGCGCGCGCAGCACGGGCGCATACTCGTTGCGGTCCAGCACGTGCACGGTGACGCGCGCCGTTGCAGCGCCACCGCCCTGCGCGCGAGCACACAACATTTTTTTTTAATTTTATTTATATCGTACGAGTTTCGGGACGAAAATGAGATTTCAGATTAAGCGTTTATACACGGGGGTGGTGTACAAAACAAACCATGTTGAGCGCGGTGACGACGAGATCGTGCCGCACGCACTTCTCGTAGTCCAGCGGCGCAGCCAGCGCCAGCACGCCGGCCGCGGGGTTCAGCCGAAACAGGCCGGCGGCGCCGCGCAGCTCATACCACACCGCCGTGCCGCTGCGTGCCTCCACCGTGCCCAGCACCGTGCCCACCGCCGCGTCCTCCGCCACCTCCCACTGCACCTCCTCGCGCGCGAATCTGCGCACGCCACCCCGACACGTCACTCGCGCTTCGCCCTCGATTCACCTCATCACCTCGCCTCGCCCCCGGCCTCGCTACGGTACCTGGGCGGCGTGTCGTCGGGCTCTACGATGATCACGTGCAACGGTAGCGCGGCCGAGCGCTCGGCGGGCGGCGGCCCGGTGGCGCGCACGAGCAGCGCGTAGTCGCGCGTAGTGCCGCCCCTCGCGCC